CTCTTCAGGGTACCAGGCTTAGCCTCCCTGGAGGACATTTGAGGCTAGGCTGAGGTGGGACCCTTTGGTTCACACTGCCACCGCCAGAGGGCGCTGGCTGTTGCCCAGGTGAGGGTGAGGGGAGGTCCCCATCCTGGCTTCCGGAAAAACAGCCTGGACTCTGGGTCTGGAAACTGCCCCCTCATGGGTCCAGGGAGCCAAATCACCTTTTCATGTCTGCCTCAACTAAGGTCTTGCCGACCCTTCCTTCCCAGTTCCTGCTTTGCTCAGGGAGTCAGATTTCCTCGGTGTGGGTGTCAGGAAGCCCGGGGTCTCCTTGCTGACCTCCGCCTGGTTCTGTTCTGCCCTCCCCCAGAGCACCACTCACAGATGTGCCTGCCTCACCTCCTTCAGCCCCCCTCCTCACACCACTGCAGTGTTGAGGCAGTGCCAAGCACCGGATTGTCACCTCTGTCACCTTCTGTCAGCCTCTTCACAACCCTGGGTGGGAGTGTGGGCCGGTCCTGGGGATTACTAACTGGGCCCAGAGAGGGGGAGGGCAGTGCCCTGGGCCACACAGCCTGCCAGTGGGCTCTGGGGGGGAGGTGGATGGGGGAAGGAAGGGAGGAATCGCGTTCCCGTCTGGGCAGGATTGAAGGGGTGGGCGCCCTGGAGGGAACTCCCCAAGCTCCTTAGCCAGTGTAGCCCACCTCCTCCCACCCCGCTTCACTTCTCCCCAGGCTCCCAGTCCGGAGGAGCCCCACCCCCCACCTCCCCCAGCTGCTCAGCCAGGTTTTTGCTTAGATCCTGCCACCCTCCCTCCCCCATCCCAGGGCTGCCTGCCTGCCTGCCTCCCTCCCAAAGCTTAGACCCTTGGCTGTGGCCACTGAGGGCCTGGCGGGGGTCCCAGGCACCACACCGCAGCGGCCAGAGCTCGGGACAGTCCCAGTCTGTCTGGCAGGGATGTGAGTTCAGGATTGGCTGGAGCTGCCCACGCCTTTGGGAGGAGGGAACTGTGAGGGGAGGCCTGGTGGCTCGGTGGCTCGCTCAAGGTCACCCTCCTTTTCTCTCCCAGCATCCCTGTTCAACTTTTGTCCCTTCTGTCTCACCTTGAGAGGGAGGAGGCAAGGTGCCAAACAGGCAGGGGACAGAGGAGCCCTGGGAAGAGGAAGGCTTTTTGGGCTCCTGACATTTATTCATTCAGCAAATATTAAGTGCCTACTGCATGCCAGGCACTGAGAACTTTACAGCAGTGAACATGGTGGACACAATCCCTGCCCACAGCCCAGCTAGGAGACAGACAAGATATAAACAATCACACAAATAATGTAAACTTGTGTCCCTAGCAGTGTGACAAAGGCCCTGAGCAGGGATTTGGCCTGGCTTCCCTGGGGATCTCCGGTTAAGGAAACTTATCTGGGCCTAGGGAGGGAGGCAGCCTTCAGACATAGCCAAGGGCTTTGTGGAGGCCTCTGTGGGGGCTGAGCAAAGCCTCAGTTTCCTCAATTGGAAAATGCAGGAAATAAATGTGCCCCAGATTGTGGGGTTGCTGCAAGGCTGCAAGGCGGCCTGCATCCTGGCCCGCAGCCCTCAGAAAGAAGGCACTGTCATCCTCCCTGAGGAAGGGTGAGGGGGGCTCATCAGTGACAATGGCGGGGAGAGCCTTCCTGCAGACCAGGAGCTCAGAGGTGGCCTCAGGGAGGTAACGGACCCCAGTTTTAGGGCCACATTTTGGAGCTCTGCTGGCCCCTCTGCCACCTAAAGCTGAAGGGGAGGAGGGGCTGGTTCCCCTGGCTGCCTCTCCTCTCCCCTCCAGCACCCTCATGTCCCTGACCACGTGGCACCTCTGCGCCCCTTGCCTGGGGAAATATGATTCCTGACTTAGGGGATAGGGGAGCCAGGGGGAAAGTGGGTGGGATTTGGGGTACCGCTCCCTCAGAGCAGCCCATTCCATTCGGCCCCACAGCCCCAGGCTGGCAGGGAGGGGGTGCTGTCTCTTTAAGAGCCTTCAGGCTGCTGGGAGCAGATGGCCAGGCCGGCCGGGGCCCCTTGTCCTTTGTGTGGCTTTGCACAAAAGAGGGGGCCAGCTGGGGAGGGGGCAGCTGCAGCAGGTGGGAGGGTGGGGCCTTGCCCCTCCCCCTTCTAACCCTGCCGCCATTGCCCCTTGGGGAGGTGTTTTCTCACTAGGAATGCCCCCCCTCTCTGGATACTGTGGCCCATACGGTTACCCCCAAACTCCTAGGATACCTCTCCTGTATTGTGTCCCACCTCCTAGGCAAAAGCCTCATCACACCAGGGCCTAGGAACTCCCCCTCCAACTCCAAAGAATAAACCTCCCCTGCCCCCACCTCCAGAGCAGAATCTTCCCCCTGAGCTCCAGGCTCTAGGGAGATGAACAGAACTAGGTTCTTATGTGTGTGTGTGTGTGTGTGTGTGTGTGTGTGTGTGTGTGTGTGTTGGGGGATGCTGGGGGTACCTGGGGCAGCCCTGGAGGAGGGGGGCCAGAATATGCACGATGCTGATGCTTGGGGGTGAGGGGCTGGGCTCTGGATACTAAGTGTGAGTAGCAAAAGGAGGCAAGGGTAGGGGGATGGGGAACCCAACTCAGGTTCTGCCTAGTGGGGTTCTGGTGTGGGTAAGATGGAAGACTCCATCATAGGAGAGGGCTGTGTGCAGCGATGGCTGCCTGCCAGGCAGGAGGGGACAGAGATGACAGCCTCCCTAAAGACTGTAGGTGCTGGGGGCGGGGTGGAACCCTGCCACTCAGGAAGGGTCAGGCTGGGGAGGATCTTTTCATCTAGTAGCAGCCCCCTTAGCTCAGATCTGCCCTTGACCCGTGCGTTCTCCTCCTTTGTCCAGACCTCCCCCTCCCTGGGGCTTGGTGACCAATCCATGATTTAAGAGGAAAAAGGCCCCGTAGCTCTGCTATGGCTCGAGGTGTGGCGGGCAACGTGGCCGCGGGCTGGGTGGCCCCATGTGGCCCGACAGTTCCGCAGCCGGGTGGAGTCGTGGCTGACTTTGCCCAGCCGCCTCGAGGAGCCCCCAGGACCAGGAGGCCCCAACCAGGTCGTGAACCGACCGCAGGACCCTGGCCGGCTGGCCTCAGGCAGCGGGTGGGGGCGGGGATCCCTGGCTGGGCCCTGGGTTGCTTCTAAATTTAGGAATCTGATTACAGAGTGGCCGAGGAAATGAAGGGAGTGGAGGGTGCGAGTGCACGGTCGGCTCCGTCTGGGCACAGCGGGGTGCGCCCGGGTGGAGGTGTGTCTAGGAGTCAGGGGCTCGGGTGGGAGGGGCGGCGGGCGGGGGCTCNGGAGGGGCGGCGGGCGGGGGCTCGGGCCTGTGTGCGCTGCCGCACGTGCCCCGGGCTGCGGGGATGGGCACCGGCGTAGCTCGCAGGCTCCCAGCCGCCGCCGGTGATGTACGCTGGCTCTTTGTGTGCCTGGCAGGGTGGCTGGGTCTGGCTTTGAAAGTCTCTGCCCACCCCCCTCCCCCGTCTCCGTCTGTGCCGCTCTACCCGCTTCCCGGTCTGTCACTCTGCCCGTGCTTGTCCTGGGGGAGGGGGATGCTGCTCCCAGCTGGGGTGACAGTGAACCTAGTGGGGAGGAAACCCAGCTCCTCTCTCTCCCTGCAGCCACACCTTTCCCTACACCTCTCAACTTTCTATCCCTCAGCCCCTTATGCCACTGTTTTGGGGTGCACACTGCAGCAATGAAAGGGAATCGGGGTGACCCCTGGGGACCCGCAGATGCACCAGAAGCTAGGTTTGGCCGAGTAGCCCTTGGAGGAATTCATTCCTGGCCTGTCCAGCCTCCCATCCGCTCTGGCCCCCAAGGGCGCCTGAAGGGGGGGTCCCCCCTGCGGAAGGGGGGGCGGGGAGTTCCTTGGCAGGAAGGGAAATGGAAGGAAAAGCTGGGCTCCACCCGGGCGGGCAGGCAGGCGGCCTCAGGGCCCCCGGGGCAGGCGGCAGTAACTCGAGCCCACTGGTGTGTGGGACTGGTGTGCGCGTGGGTGGGGCTGACCCCCAGCTACTGCTGGGGGACAGGGAGGTCTCCCCCAGGGGCAAGTCTGAGAGCCCCGGGGGCCCGCGGAAGGGAGCGCTCACCACTCTGGTTCTGACCCCACCCCCAGG